AGCCAGCTCCAGTTCTCCCTTCCTTACCCACCTCCCCTCACACCAGGCAAACGGACAGCTTGGGCCAGGCCCAGCCCACTCAATTCTGGTCTCTTCTTTCTCCGTTGACCCAGGCCACTCATGGGGTCCTTGAGTCCCTCACAGCCTGGAATTGCTCATCACTTTATTCCCCACAACTACCTCCTGTAGTTCTGCTTCATGTCTCATCTCCTATAAGAAAGGCACACTGCCCCCACTCCTGGGCTCCTTGGGTCCTTTGGGGATTTGCCTCCCCAGTGAGTGTACCAGAGCCGCAGACTAAACGCCCCTGCCTGGAGGCCTGGGATGGATGAGATGGGGACTCTGTCAGCCTGAAGGTCTTTCTTTCCTTCCTTTCCTTAGCAGAAGCTAAAGAGGTTTCCTGAAATGGAAGTGCCTGGATGCAGACAAAAATGAGGGCCGAAAACATAGTTAAGGTCAAGTCACAAAGAGTCACGTTAGGATGGGGTGGTCTTTTGAGTGCAGGATGTAAAAATGACAAGGAAAAAGTTTAAAAAAAAAAAAAAAAACCATAACAAGGGAGCCCAGAGCCCCATAGTCAGTCAGTCTGGATGCTAAGACTGGGACTGCTACATCTTTACACGTGTGAGCATGGGCAGTGGAGAAGTTGGGGGCCCCAAGCAAGGGAAGAGAAGGGGGGAGTGAAATGAGCCATGGAGCTGAGAAGCTGCCGATTCTGGCCCTGCCCAACTTGGCTGGCACATTCCCCTGCCCACCCCACGCCTGGGCACTCACACAGGCCAAGGTTGAGATGAGGGACTGGAGGGGACACAGGGAGAACAGGCCTAGCGGGTAGTTCTTACCCCCACTGGGTGGTGGGCTGGTCGGGGAGGTTCCCTCCATCTCCTCGAAGGCTTCCTTGTAGCTGTGCAGATGGGGCTGCAGAAGAACAGAGGGGAGAAAGCAGGGAGCCCTGAGAAGGAGGGGTTTCCCCTTCAGATGACCTGGGGCACGAGAACAGCACATTAACCAGCCCACAGGTCCCCTCACAGGCCTGAGCGCAGAGGTCCTAGGGGGGTCATGGCCATTCACAGCCCCCACAGCTCCTTGTAGTTGAGAGAGTGGAAATCGGCTATTCACAAGGCCACAGTCAAACACAGGCAGAATTCAGGAGCACCTGCCTTGTAAATATTTCAGAACAGAGCCAAAGAAGAGGGGCTGGGGGCTGGAGACCCGGGTCCTGACAGAAGGCAGAAGAGAAACGATGTCCAAAAGCCATTTATATCCAGAACAACT